CCTCCTGCACCACTGCTGGTGCCATGTGTCATCCCCGTGCGTCCCTGCAAAGCCGGGAGCTGCCGTGGCCTCCCCAGCCGCGCGGGGAAGTCATTAAACACAAAAATTAGCTTTATTTAATCAGAGATGCGCGTCGAGAGAGGCAGTTTATTAGCGGGGAGGTCGATGCATTGAGCGGGCTCTGCGGGGAGGGAGTGCGGGGAGCGGAGCGAGCCGTACGGAGCGGGAGGCAATGGGAAGGTGCCGGCTCCTGCGGGAGCATCAGGGCACAGGGAAACGTCTGAGCTGGCGGTTGGCACCGTGCAGCAGAGGGGATGCACCAAGGGGTGCCCAGGGCTGGGATCTGCAGTGCCAGGGGCTGCGCCGGAGCCGGCTCTGCCTCCGAGAGCTTGGTACATCCAGGAGCGAGCGGCGAGAGCAAGAGACGACACCACCGGCTGCAAGAGAAAGTGGCAGCGCCGGAGCAAGGCCGGGGCCTCGAGCGGTGCAGCCGGGTGTCCCGACTGCATGGTGCAGGCTGCACCATGCACGGTGCAGCAGGGCTGTCCTGACCCATGCACAGTGCAGCTGCATGTCCTAATCCGTGTGCAGTGCAGCTGGGTGTCCCGACCTGTGTGCGGTGCAGCAGGGCTGTCCCGACCCGTGCATGGTGCAGCTGCATGTCCTAACCCATGCATGGTGCAGCCAGGTGTCCCAACTCGTGTGCAGTGCAGCTGGGTGCCCTGACCCATGCACGGTGCAGCCAGGTGTCCCGACCCATGCATGGTGCAGCTGCATGTCCTAACCCATGCATGGTGCAGCCAGGTGTCCCAACCCGTGTGCAGTGCAGCTGGGTGCTCTGACCCATGCACGGTGCAGCCTGCTGTCCTGAGCTCTGTGCAGTGCAGCCGGGTGTCCCGACCCGTGCACGGTGCAGCTGCATGTCCTAACCCATGCATGGTGCAGCCGGGTGTCCCAACCCGTGCGCATTGCAGCTGGGTGCTCTGACCCATGCACGGTGCAGCCTGCTGTCCTGAGCTCTGTGCAGTGCAGCCAGGTGTCCCGACCCATGCATGGGGCAGCCGGGTGTCCCGACCCGTGCACGGTGCAGCTGCATGTCCTAACCCATGTGCGGTGCAGCTGGGTGTCCTGACCCATGCATGGTGCAGCCGGGTGTCCCGATCCATGCACAGTGCAGCAGGGCTGTCCCAACCCGTGCACAGTGCAGCAGCGCTGTCCTGACCCATGCGTGGTGCAGCCAGGCTGTCCCGCAGGGACACCGCATCCCCTGCCACATCGCCCTGCCACGTCCCCTGCGCATCCACCCGCAGCCCCACGGCTCAGAGCCCCTCACAAAGCCACTCAGAAGGCGATTACGGACGCGCCGGTGCTGCCGCGGGACTGAGATAATTTGTAATTACAGGCGACACTCTTGCGACGCGGCACGCGTATGTTTTTCAGTCACTCGTATTAAATTAAACGCTCGGGCTAATTGGAGGCGCCGCTTGGCTCGCGCTGCGTCGCCGGGAGCGCGCGGGGGAGCGACCTCGCTGCGCGCTCGGGCACG